ACACATAGTGAAGTGAAATGATGCTTCAGATTTTCTTTAAGATACTTGGCACAAATGACAAGTGGGATAAGATAAGAAACTAAGACTGGCCACTTGTTACACTGGGTACACAGGGGTTCATTATATTAAACTCTCTATTTTTGCTCATAATTTAAATTTGCCATGATAAAACGTTTAATGATGATTTTTTTAAGTAGGTCCAGAAAGCTACATCACAAAACTCTTCTAGGTGTTTCTCATACAAAAATGAAGACAGGCTTCCATGCCTACCATTAAATTTCTTTGATTAAAAAATATCATCAGTTGGAAGATCCAACATTCATCTGATAATTTTTCAGAGGAAAACATTAAAATGCACAGATTATAAACTATACCCCAATGTCAGAACTGTTGAAAATGTGTAAAACATGCCTCAGAACCAAGGTGACCTGGTCATTTCTTTGACAGCTGTTAATAGGAATGATTGCTGTTGCTGAAAGGCCAACTTGGAAACATAATGGGGTGCAAGGCCTCCGTTACTTATTTATTTTAACCCATCAAGTTGTAATTTCTGTTAATTTAGCGACTGATGGTTTGCCTCCCTAAAATATGAGAGAAAATGAGTGCTCAACAGGCTAAAGGGGATGAAGCGCGGGCCTCTCACTGCCTGGACATAAGCCTTGCTTTCACATTGTGTGTTAATGAAAGCAATCCAACCACACAACACACACCTATCTATGGGCCTTGCAACCAGTTAAAAAAACTGTTAAAGAAGAGGCACCACCTGGCGCTTCTAGAGCACAGGATCTCTGGCATGAGGTCACCGCATTGGAGCTAGTGAGTCTATCACCTTAGCCCTGAGGTTACCGGGAACTGCACGGGGCAGGTGCATTGTGCTTGCAGCGAGGTGGAGGCAGCCGGCTGGGAGCCTGGCGGGGAATGCAGGCGGCCTGGAGGCCTGCGGGGTACTTACTGTCCTCCGGCAGGCTGTTCTCCCGCTCCTCCCTCTCCATCTGCTGGCACCAGCCTTCCATGCGGTCTCGCTCTGCCTGGAGAAGCTTCAGGAACCAGTGGCCGTCGCGATGGCACACTGACCTTTGGACGGCCTCCATGGGGTCTTCAGTGATGGAGTCAATCCAGGGGTCTGGGGGAGGCAGAATGGAAGGGTCGAAATCCACGTCGAAGTCGTCGTCGACCGCACAGGCGTGGTAGTGGTTTCCTGAGCCCTGAATGCTGACTGTGGAGGTGCTGGCATCCCGGGAGAACTGTCTGGCCATGGGGCCCAGGCATGAATTGTCCTCTATAGATTCCAGAGAGTTTTCCAAATTATCATGGAAGTCCAGGTCAGCCTGCACTGCTGTCGTCACACTGTTGGATCGAGTGAACCTGCGGAAGCTTAGAGGAATAGAGAGAGGAGATTGAGTTCAGGAATATTTCCAGAAGCAAGACCACACTGTACTTTTCTTTGTGGGTGACAGTAGGGGTCTCATCTCAGTCTTAGGCCCTTGCTGTGAGCCAAGGCCCCAATATAAAGAACACAGACCTCCGGGGAAAAAGGTGGCAGTGTGAGAACTGGGGCAGAAATCTCCTCCCAAAAACACATATAATACGAAAATAGAGCAAATACAACTATTCCTAAAAGATTGACCAGAAATAAGATTGCACCAGCCAGTCTACATCTGGGAGAAGAGAACATCTCATGGAAAAGGGTAAGTAATAAAGCCAAGACCCGGTGGGATCTGAACACCTGCCCCACCACAGCTCACTGGCAGGAGGAAGAGAATCAGAGCAGGGAGGGAGCAGAAGCCGAGGACTGCTAAACACCCAACTGTACTAATCTATTTCAGGAGCACAAACCCACACTGCATGGTGCTCTGGAAATTAGAGGGGGTGAAAATTAAAGTCAGACTGAGACTGAAAACAGGTTCCCACAACCAGCTGCCCTTGGACAAAAGGAAGGCCAGTGCTTTGAACAACTTCCCAACAGTGAGAGGGCTGCTAAAGGGGCAAGGATTCAGGAGAAGGAACAGGTGGACTAAATCGTCCCGGCACACTAAGCCTAGCAGATTGGGAACGTTCAGAAGCTTCAGATGCTCCGCTCCCTCTGGCTGGCAATGCAGCCTCAAGGGCCCTCACTGTGATAAGCAGTCTGCCATTTCTTCCTCTCCACGGGCACCTGCGTGCAAACCTGCTACTGCTGCCATTGCTCTAGGCCACACAGAGGGCAGCTCTGCATACAGCAACTACAAGGCTTAATGCAGAGGATGCTCCCTGCATGCTGCTCACTGGTCCTGACAGTGGAGGCAGGCACTGTGGCCAGGAAGCAGGAAAAGGCTTGCTCTTTAGGGTAGGCACCAACACCACTCGCCTGTGACCACTGCCATTGCTCCAGGTACTGGGAAGCTCTGAAGAGCAGAGCTTCTGGGCACTAGCAAGCACTGACTACACAAACAATATTTCTTACCATCCCATAGGATTATGAAAAGGAAGAAGAACCTTGTTCAATCCAAAATCCCTCAAACACCAGAAAGAAGGCTCAGTGAGACTGAAATCACCAATCTTTCTGAAAAAGAATTCAAAATAAAACTCATATGCATGCTAATGGAGCTACAGAAAAATATTCAAGAAATAAGAGTATTAAATATGGCAGCATGAGAGGAGAGACAGAGGCTTCCTCCTAAAACTGGATACAATTAGAAAATATAGTTCGCGCAATTAATCCTGAGAGAGCAACAGGAAAGAGGATGGCAACAGACTGCATGCACCGGGAGAAAAGAGCAGACCTCACCGAATGGGGTAACGTACCAGAGCTGTGGCTCAGCGGGACTCAAGCCCTTCCCCCACCCCAGCTCACCGGCAGGAGGAAGAGAAACTGAGCAGGGAGGGAGTGGAAGGCTTCAGACTGCTGAATACCTAGCTCTGGAGATCTGCGCTGGGAGCACAAACCTACATTTCATGGTGCTTTCATCATACTCTTCTGACTATGGGGTTGGAAAGCTGGAACAGGCGGAGTTCCTGGGGAAACTGGGATCCTGGCCGCTTGTGGAAAGCAGGGATCCATATCCGGCTGCTCTGGGACAAAAGTTTATATCCGTGTGCTCGGCCCACTGGTTCAGGTGGTGGACATAGGCACAGAAGTGGGGAAGGGGGGAACAGCTCTTTCCTCCCCCCAGGCACCAATACCACTCTCCTGCAACCCCTGGCATTGCTTCAGGGGTTGAGAAGCTCCAGAATAGAGCTTCTGGACACTAGAGGGTGCCATATATAAATATGAAACACCAAAGAAACCTGGTCCAGAGTAAAATTATTAATACAACTCCCAAGCAAAATTTAAATGATATGGACCTCGTGACACGTCCTGAAAGGGAGTTCAAAATAAAAATCATCAACATTCTAATGGAGGTACGGAAAGACAGCCAAGAACTCAGGAATGAATTCAGGTCGGAGATCCAATCATTGAAGGGCACAATGGAGGGTTATTAAAAGCAGGTTGGATATGGTGGAGGAGACAATAAATGAAATAGAAACTAGAGAAGAGGAAGACAAAGAAGCTGAAGCACAGAGAGAAAAAAGGATCTCTAAGAATGAAAGAATATTGAGAGAACTGTGTGACCAAACCAAATGTAACAATATTCACATTATAGGTATACCAGAAGAAGAAGAGAGAGAGAAAGGGATAGAAAGTGTCTTTGAGGAGATAGTTGCTAAAAACTTTCCCAATCTGGGGAAGGAGATAGTCTCTCAGGCCATGGAGATCCACAGATCTCCCAACACAAGGGACCCAAGGAAGACAACACCAAGATACATAGTAATTAAAATGGAAAAGATGAAGGATAAGGACAGACTGTTAAAAGCAGACAGAGACAGAAATAAGATCACATATAAAGGAAAGCCCATCAGGCTAACATCAGACTTCTCAGCAGAAACCTTACAGGCCAGAGGGAGTGGCATGATATGTTTAATGCCATGAAGCAGAAGGGCCTGGAACAAAGATTACTTTATCTGGAAAGATTATCATTTAAATTTGAAGGAAGAATTAAACAATTTCCAGATAAGCAAAAGCTGAGAGAATTTACCTCCCACAAACCATCTCTACAGTCTATTTTGGAGATACTGCTATAGATGGATGTGTTCCTAAGATTGAATAGCTGTCACCAGAGGTAATAAAACCACAGTAAAGAAAGTAGAACAGATAATTACTAAGCAAATGCAAAATTAAATTGACTATCCCCAAAGTCAATAAGGAATAGACAAAAAGTACAGAATATGATACCTAATATATAAAGAATGGAGGAGGAAGGAAAAGGAGGATAAACAGAAAAGAACCTTTAGATTGTGTTTGTAACAGCATACTAAATTAGACTCATAGATAGTAAGGAAATTAACTTGAACCTTTGGTAACCATGAATCTAAAGTCAGCAATGGCAATAAGTACATACCTATTGATAATGACTCTAAATGTAAATGGACTGAATGTACCAATCAAAAGACATAGAGTTAATGAACGGATAAAAAAAACAAGACTCATCTATATGCTGCTTACAAGAGACTCACCTCAAACCCAAAGACATGCACAGACTAAAAGTCAAGGGATGGAAAAAGATATTTCATGCAAACAACAGGGAGAAAAAACAGGTGTTGCAGTACTAGTATCAAACAAAATAGACCTCAAAACAAAGAAAGTAACAAGAGATAAAGAAGGACATTACATAATGATAAAGGGCTCGGTCCAACAAGAGGATATAACCATTATAAATATATATGCACCCAACACAGGAGCACCAGCATATGTGAAACAAATACTAACAGAACTAAAGGAGGAAATAGAATGCAATGCATTCATTTTAGGAGACTTCAACACACTATTCACTCCAAAGGACAGACCCACCAGACAGAAAATAAGTAAGGACACAGAGGTACTGAATAACACACTAGAACAGATGGACCTAATAGACATCTATAGAACTCTGTATCCAAAAGCAACAGGATACATATTCTTTTCAAGTGCACATGGAACATTCTCCAGAATAGACCACATACTAGGCCACAAAAAGAGCCTCA